GTGTTGGACGTCATGGGTCATCCAATTTCAGAAGGTAAAAAAAAATATTATTCATATAAACTTTAATCAAAATCTTAATTATTAATATATTTGTTAATAATAGCAAAAGTCGATGAAATCCCTTTCAACATAAGGGAATATGAAAAATATAAGAAGCCACTTATTCATAAATTGTTAATAACTAATAAAATGATCGATATGAGTGAGTGTAATATTCATGCATCAATTGTGAGCGAGAAAAATAATATATTTTCGCTACATGTGGAGTATATTGGTGGAAATAAAAATCGTCCAGTTATTGTTATTCATCAGATACAAGGTGAAAAGGCTAAATGGTTTAGTAATCAAAATAATCGAGTTAAAATTAAACTTGGATGGGTTATCATTGGGCCACCAACAAATTTCGGTTTTAGTATCCAATACCCACTAGCACTCAAAAGCGGGAAATACCGAGTTCTAGAAGCGAAGGATTATCATATAATAAACAATTGTGGCATGTTTGGCACTTGCGCTTTAGAAGCAAATAACATTGCTCCACAAGCAAAAAATAGATCAGATACAAGGACTGCTACTTACCGTAAAATTAATAACCCAAAAGAATCATCATATGTCATTGGTAATTACCTAACGCGTCAAGGATCTGCAAGTCAAGAGTCTACGTAGTTGTTTGTTTATGATATTAAAAATAAGGAAAAAGTAACAGATGAGAATATCTTTAAAAGATTGGTTTTATACAGTTGGTAAGTAAAATATTTAGAATTTTTTATCATAAAAAGATTGTATTTTTTCAAAAAGTTTCAGGTGTCAACCCATTTCCATTACTCTATGTAATATTTATAAAAATGTTATTCAATATGCGAGTAAAAGATTTTAATTATTTTTCAACTCTAAAAACTCCATCAAATAAATTTTATTTCCAAATGAAGTTAGGCATGAATGGAATATGATTTCATTAGTAAATTCTGTACTTAGTTTCATTAATTACAAAATATCAGACACACTTTGGTTTGGCATCTGATTCTTTTATTATTTCACTTAAAATAATTCGTGTTAAATATGTCTTTTCTGATCTATATAACAGCATTGTCGATGAGGCAAGTTCACGCCAAATCAACGATTTTTTTGGTGAAATGAAATTTAATTGGACCAAGGGAAAAAATAAAGGAATATTACACAGTAAAGAAGTGTTTAAAATCTCTAATAATAATTTAATATTGGTGAATCAAATATTTGACCATGAAGATTGTATTGGTTGTCAACCTCTCGGATTCGTTAATGTTATTTCCGATAAAATTTTTTATGGTTCATTAAATTCAAAACATTCGAATATAGAAGAAAATGATGGATCAATTGTTTATCTTTCAATTCCTCCGAAATTTATTGCTAAAAAATAGCATAGACTTTTTAAATTACAATGTATTATCATAAATTATTTTCACATTTCAAATAAATTCTCGAGTTTTCTTAAATTGCTTTCAATTCATCTATATAACACCGAGAGGCTATATTTTAACGTATTTTGCGCCTAAGTAGCATTCGACTGAAATCAAGCCTCTAATATTAAATTAGAATGTATTAAGCAGTAACTCTGTGCAGCTTTAACAATAACTCAAGTAATATCATGAAAGGTTGGTAAATATGCACCAACAACCAGTTAGATCATACAGGCAAAGATTCTCAGACTCCCAACTCAGCTACAAGAGCAGTATAAATTTAAGAGAAAGAGCTTAAGAATGGTCTATATAAAACCATTTTTGGCATGGTAAATTATTTGTTGTAGTTAGTAAACTTTAATAAATATGAAAAGATATTTAATAAACACCATACAAAAAAAATACAGTCTACCCTCATTAATGCCAACTTCATTAATATCAATCTAACCATAAAATGAATTTTTACAATTTTTTTATATATTAAAACTTTCTCAGATATATCAACTTTTAATATAATCCCTTGTTAATATCACTATCAACATGAATTTAAGCCAATTCAAATGGGTTTATATAAACGAGGGTAGACTGTAGCTAGATATAATATATTTATTTATTTATTTATTTATTTTGCTATATAATATTTAAAAGTTGCCTATTCTGTAGTAACTAAATAACTGGTATAAAAACATATAAGATGTTTTATAAACACTAATACTTTTAGAATTGCTTTCACTTGGACCACTAATAAACGGTTTATTAATATAATTATTTCTAATCCATTCAATAATTCGACTAATTTGATTTTCATTTTTTTCATAACTATCTTCAAGATAAATAATTATGCGTTTCTTTTGATGAATACTAAGAATTGTTTCATGAATAAAATTTGTGCCCGGTGTAATTATAAGCAATATACCGTCTGCTAACTTTGCATTTTGTTCATCTCTCTCAAAAAATGAATTACTGTTTAACTCCTTAAGTGTATATTTTCGTGATAAAATGCCATCTTCTGCACTTCTATTTTTTAAGCACCAACCATCAATATTAAGGTCGTTATCCAGTGCAGCATCTAATGCTGCTCTTTCAACACCAGTCTTGTCACCAGAAATGATTGTGATATTAGATCTACCAGTATTTGTTTTTGGTTGAACATCTAATTAATTATAATAACGCATAAAAGATTAAACATTAGGGTTATACTATGTAAAGAAAAATACTAATAATTGATACTATACTGATTAGATGTTCAGAAATTTGAGGTATAGACGATTCAATGAATTCAGTAGCTAATTTTTTAGCAATACATGTATAAATCTAAATATCAGATGTACGTTTAGAAAAGTTAATCAAAATAAATATTTCACTTACTTGATTTAGTTTCTGAGTAAACTTTTTGGCCTATTTGCTTTAAATAAAATGTTATTATAGACGAATAAACTATACCAGAATCTTGGAGAATAAACCATTGAATAGAATATTCTGATGTATTCGTTTTAAATCTCTTGTGATGGTTAGAAGAAATTTCATCATTTTTTTTATTAACAGAAGGTTCATAATTATGACAAAGTATATTGATTAAAATTTTGCAGCCTTCATAATTTTGTACTTCTGCTGTGAAATTTGGTTCATAATTTGAAAACGGATATTTAAACGAAGATACAATAATTGAATCTTGTGGAAGATTTTCTAGAACATTCAAATAAATATTTTCTTTTTCCTTTAATTCAAATGGTTCATCGCCTGAACCCAATATGTTTATTTTTCTAGTGTTCGTGCTAAAATATCCAACATCAGCAGGTATTCCTATTAATATCCAAGCAATTTTCGGGTCCTTGCATGGAAGTTTACTAAAAGTTAGAGAATTAGTACATTAATTAAATATAAACTGATAAACAGTTTATTTGAAATTAAAAACTTACGAATTATCAACATGAATTAGGAATCCGTGCGTTTTCATATATTCGAATTTAACAATAACGTCATTAATTGCATTACCATTTCGCGTAATTAATTTTCCGAAAACTTGATAATTATTAGATTTGAAATGAACAGGAAATTCTACACCATATAAATAGGGTGGATCATTAACATCAATCTGTATTGTTCCAGCCATAAGCACCTTTTGTTTAATATTATTTCTATGGTTACATTCAATTCGGTCATTAATTCCAAGAGTATATTCAATTTGCCTATTAATCGCGAGAACAGATTCAACTTCTTGACGTAGCGGCAAGTCAAAAATTTCATACAAAGGATCTAATTCCTTGCAGCTAATAACCTCTAATGAGTCAATTTCACACTCTAAACAAGATCTGATCCATTTCTCTTTGAGATAAGATAAATCTAAATCATAAGAATTCGTGTATTTTCTCCATTCATTCAAGATATCTGCAAATTTACTCATTGAAAAATCATCGGAAGTCATCCATTTTGCTTCTACGTTTTTGTGATTAAATCCGGCTAAATTTTTATCTACTGTTAAATCAGACATTCGGTATAGTTTCTGCCCAAGAATTATCTTCTTTGGCAAAAAAAAGCCGTATTTATTAAAAACCTTCAATAATTCGTAATAAGGATCATAATGACTCAGGGCTTTTTTTACTTCATAAATTAATTCAGCAGACGGGCTTATTGAATCTTTTTCAATAACTAATTCGATTTTAGAGAATTGTATTATTAGAAAAACATCGTTTGTTGAAGTTTCATCAACTAGAAGGGCAGTTGCAATATTTATGATATCATTGTTATCAAATATCCGGTTAATATATTTTAAATCATTATTAGAGAGCTCAATACGATTTTTCAATAAAAAAGATTCATTTTTTTTTGTAGCATTTACTAATTTTGCATGAAAGTAAGGATTTTCAATAAAGTCATTTCTATGTTCTGGCTTAAAATCATAAGATATAGAGTCTGAAAAGCGTATTCCTTGTGCATCGATAATTAATCCATGCTTAAGGAAGCTTATATTATTCATGCCTTTTACAATTCAGTGCCTTTCAAACGTTAATGACACTCTAATTTATACTGTATCTGGTATTTATTTTTATCCACGTGCATAAATTGCGTCATCTGCGTTATATTGGCGATCGCTGTCACAAAACAATACGTATAATAAAATTCATACAAAACAATATATAACAATAATATGAATATATACCTATTGTCGATTGATTCGTTTAAATTAAACTCTTAAATAGTTAGTTATGAGTAACAAGAAATTAAAGTGCCGACTATGACAGTTAACGAAAATAAAAACGAAAATAAAAATGAGAATGACAATAATGAAATCGTTAAAAATGATGAAAACGAAAACGATAAAAGCAACAATAATGACATAATTGAAGTTATAATCAATAAAAACTCGAACAAATATACGAAATATTTACCTAGTAAAAGTAAACTTGACGATATTCGTAAAATGCTCTTAAAAAATGAAAATGATAGTGATAATGATCTTCACATGGGATCAAATTGTCGTTTTTTGCATTTTTCACAAGAAAAAGCGGTGATTAAACCAAGTGATGAATCTAAATATGATCTTTTAAAGATTATTGGAAAAAAAGACGATAAATATTATTTATATATTAATCAAAATGCTGAATTTGACTTGACTCAGTTAAGGTTTGAAAAGGGATTTTTGTTTGAAAAAAATGGATCTATAATAAGTGCACCTGTTCGAGCATTTAAAATTAATATAGATGAAACTAAAATAGAGAAAAAAGAGGAGATTAATGAAAAAGTTTATTCATGTAATCATGAAAAAAACGTGAACTGTAAACGACCTCTCATATTTGATTTAAAGCTTTCAACCGCTTGTTCAGAATTGTTTTCTACTTCTATCGGATTTTCTCATGAAAATTCTGACCAAACACATACACAACATGTAACATCTACCAAACGTAAACTGTTCGTAAAAGGTGAACTATCTATTTCAGATAAAAATATCAGCTTAGAAAAAAATTTTATTGAAGATATTAAAAATGTGTTGAGTGACACAACTCATGATAAGATAAGAAAACTTCATGAAATATCAAAAAATTATGGGCACTTTTATGTACGACGTCTTATTTTTGGAGGGGCAATAATAAAAAAAGAAGAATATACAAAAAATTTAGGTGTGTATCAAATGTTTAATATTAATACAATAAACCTTTATTTCTTCAGTTTCTTCAGTTTAATTCATATGCAATCTATTCTAGTTAAATGCTCTAAGGTAAAGGCCACTAATACACAGTTTGATGCCGGAATTGCTGCAAACAGTCTTAAAGCTGAAGTCAATATTGCTCATAGAAATGAGGATACTCATAACAATTCAAGTGATAATACAAATATAGTTGAAACATCCATTGGCGGAACTAATTATTCTCAATATGATGAAAACACTTGGAAACAATCTCTTAATGATCCGACTACGTGGAAAATAATTGGGTACGAAGGTGTTTATTCATTATTTGAATTATTAGATAATGAATTAAAAAAAGAAGTATTGGGTATCGTTGGTCATCAAATTTTAGAAGGTAAAGGATTAATATTAATCATTTAAATTATTTATACCTTTAATCAAAAGTGCTAATTATTAATCTATTTGTTAATGACAGCAAAAGTCGATGAAATCAAGTTCGACATTGAAAAATATGAAAAAGCTAAGAAACCATATACTCATAATTTGATAACTAATATAAATATGAGTGAGTGCAATATTATTGCATCAATTAAGAGCGAAGAAGGCAATATATTTTCGCAACATGTAGAATATATGGATAAAAATAAAAATTATCCAGTTATTGTTATTCATCACATAAAAAGTAAAAAGACAAGTCATTTTAGTAATATAATTAATATTAATAAAGTTAATAGTAATATAGTTGAAATTAAGCTTGGATTGGTTATCATTGGGCCACCAAAAGACTTCAATTTTAGCATCGAATATCCACTGGTACTCGAAAGCAAAAAATATCAAGTTCCTAGAGAAAGTAATTATCATATAATACACGAGCGTAGCATGTTTGGTACTTGCGCTTTAGAAGCTCCTCAAGTAAAAAATAATTCAGGTACAGGAGAAGCTACTTATTATAAATTTTCTCGCAACCCAAAAGATTCAAGATATGCCATTGGTAATTACCTTAAACATTGTCAAAAATCTATGCCTACATGGGTGTTTGTTTATGACATTAAAGATAAAAAAAAAGTAACTGACGAAAAAGTATTGGAAAATTTGGCACTATATAGTTGGTAAGTAAATTGTATTTTAATCTATGAATTTTACCATAAGAGAATGTATTTGCAATATTTATAAAACGTTTGTCCTGTATACGAGTAGAAACATTTTATATATGATCTTATATTGGTAATGAACTTTTTCAAAATCGAAAAATTCTCTACAAAAGCTTTCCATTCTGAAATTAATTTGAAACTATCAAATTACCTGTAGAGCATTTTTACTTAATGTATGACCTAGTAAATTTCTGCAATTAGTTAATTTATTGATATAAAATTGGAAACACAATTTGGTTTTACACTTAAAAATTTTTCTAATTTGTTGCTATTGCTTTATTATTATATAATAGTATTGTCGATATTACTTGTTCACGTCAAATTAACGAATTTTTTGGTGAAAAGAAAATTAATTGGATCAAGGAAGGAAATAAGGAAATATTATACAGTGAAAAAGTATTTGATAAATTCCCTAATGATAATTTAATATTAGTAAATCAAATATTTGATCATGATTTTATGAATTGTCAACCTCTCGGATTTGTTAATATTATTTCCGATAAAATTTGTTATGGGCCATTAGATTCAGAACAACTGAATATAGATGGAAAATGTAAATCAATTTTTTATCTTTCAATTTCTCCGAAATCTATTCCTAAAGGAAATAGTGATCTTTTAAATTTCAGTGAATTATGCCAGTAAAGTTAAGTTTTGCATTAAATGAATCTGAAAATTGTCGATCGGATTTTTTTTTCTGTCGTACTTTGAGTGACACTGGATAAAATGACGAAAAAAATAAATGGCAAAAATAGATTAATTGACACAATTAGAACTTAAGAAAAAAAAAATTTATTTTGAAAATTTGAAAAAATGAGTCAGTCGTGTGATGCAAAACGAAAAATCAACCTTGCGTGAGTTTATCATATTACTTTCATAATTATTAAATTTTTCTCTTTCTAATATTCTTATGAGTTATCTTAAATTATTCTTTAAATCTAAATTTACACATTTCTTAGTAAAATCATATAACTTTTTTCTTGTCACTAATTTCATATTAATAGCAATTGAAGTTAAAATTTTTTATAAGCTTGACTTCAAATGATTTGTAAACGCCTTATAATTATCTATTATATATACGGTAACTGTGTCAATTCATGTTAATTTTTTTTTTAAATGTATTTCATTAAATCATATATTTGCAATTATTAATATTATTAATTGAGATGCTTTTATATTCATCAATTTCTCTACTTTAATTTTATCTATCTTTGCTGAATTATTAATGAGTATCCACGAAGTCGAATAGTTTATTCAACTATTTAGATTAAGAAAACTACATTATCGGAAATAGAATAAAATTCAGTAGTAAATATTTATAAATTTAATGATTTATACTTACAGTCATGAGATTATGAAAAGTAACATTCATGAAGTCGAATAGTTTACTTATTTTAAATGCTCAAATAAATGTTCTGTAACACGAATATAGTAAAATTAAAATAATAAATATTGAAGAATTTAAATAATATATTTCAAATACTCAGTTTCATACTTAGGCAATAAATTAACTTGAATAAAATCTAATTAAATTGTATATTTTCATGAACTCGAATAACTTATTTTAAATTCATAAACTAATGCAATTATAATAATAATTAATAAGATTTATCCGCTTAAAACGAATAAGAAGTTAAGTGGTAAATGTTCATGAACTTTAATGAATTCAAATAGCTTATTGTAAACATTTATATTAATAAATATTCATTATACTCAAACTAAATTATCGTGAATATGGTGTCTCAAAAAGTTCTATTCTTGTTATGAAATTTCGAAATCAGAATGAAAATAGGAGTTATTCAGAGATAAAATGAGTAAACTTTTTTTGATATATATAAAATTAATGGATATAAGTTTTGAAAAAATTCACAAAAAAGCATTAATTATTAAATATTTTAAGATGCAAAAGCATTGTTCTTAACCCACCTGACCTATTTTTATTGACTAAGAAAAATAATAAAAATAATACAAAAAAACTCATCGTGGGTTTCTTGAGTCAGGATAACAAGAAAGTACATCACATTACAAAAAAATTTGATATTCAAATAGATATGAAGTACTGTATATCATTCTTTTCAACAGTGTAAAAAGTTCGGTTTGAAAATACCTATGTGCGCACTCATATGATTACTTACTTCATATTAAAAAATAAGGAAATTTCATTTGCGATCCGCATATGCGCACATCGAATTTTTATACTATTTTTCAACTCAAAATCGCACTGCTAATCTACATTTGATTCTCAATAGTCAAGAACTATGCCCAGTGCCAAAGATACCTACAACAGCTAACATTTATTTCCAAAGGTTTATACTTTCTTCCAGAATTAGTAATTCAATTTTCCAAATACATATTCGAACATAATGTGCATGCCAGGTCTATTGATTAAATAGGCGCGAATCTTTTTAAGGCAGGTCAATAAAAATGGGTCAAATGGTCAAAAACAATGTTTTTGTCTGTAAAATTATATGGTTCCGGAAATCTGTAATCGCCAATCGCGAGAAATGCTTCAATTTTCTCGTGATCGTAATTGACCAATAAATTAATATATTTTGATATACTGTGCCAGAATTATTGTATTTTTTTAAATCGCTAAAACTTTTTACAGAAATTTTTTTTTAAAAAAATGTCAATAACTTTATGCACTGAACTGAGCTCTATAAAGTTATCGGTCAGTTTTTTAAAAAATTTCCTTTATAAGATGTTATAGCGATTTGAAAAAAGAACCAATCTTTAAAATCGTCATAGCTCTTTATAGATGTATTTTTTTAAAAAAAAAAATTACGATAATTTTTTGTAAAGCTCAGCTGTATGTATAAAGTCATTAGTAAATATTTTTATAAAAATTTTGTTGTGAAAAGTTTTAACGATTTATAATGAAAGTATTTCTGACGCAGTATATCGAAATTCGAAATCGAAAACATTATTGACCACGATGAGAATTTTATGTTCGAATTATGCAGATTGTCGATCCAACTAAATCAAAAAGAGCACAAAGAAAAAAAAGAGAAGATAAGTGGCTAATCGATTTTTAAAGATCATGCATTATGACATAAAGAAATGCTATGTAACATTATGAGTTCATGCACATATCAGATATATAGCAATCGTACAATCGTATTGCTGACAGCCATTTCGCCGAAAATTACCTCCAGCCAACGCTAACTAAAAATCAGGCCAACTAGAGATGTAATAGAAGCTCAAGGAATTTGTATCGTAACCAAGTTATAAATTGTTGTAACTTGATTTATATACGTACCTATGTCGTAAATATTTTAAATGTTGTAACTCAACTTTATATTCCGTAACTCTATACCTTATTATAAATTTATTTATGCATAACTTTTACGTACATATATATATACATATAAATATAAACTTATGTCGTATTTCAGATTGGAATCGTCCCGATTCGGGATCGGGCTGCTCGATGGGAATTTGACAAATTATTTTGATAGTATTAGAACTTTAGAGTTGGCGTTAGGGTTAGTATTAGGGTTAGAATAAAAATTTTTAGTTTTTGATTAGCATAATGTTAGCCAAAGTTAAAAAATTCTTATCTGGGAATGTCCCGATTATGGATTGGAACAGTTCCAATCTGGGGTACAAGTAATAATTATACCCTGGTCACTATATCAAGATCGCAGGGCACTATGTGTATAAGCGGGGCTGAAAGTCCCACTTATACCCAACTGCCCAGGATATAACTATTACTAATTATCCTATTTCTTCATTAAACTTCCTGAACAGGTTATTGAAATTAATATTTTGAATCGATACATTATCTAATGCTACAATGATTGTCGGGATTCGGAAGTTTATGCGCAAAAAACCGGTCAATATTATTATTAGATTTGAATAATAAAGAGTATTCTTCTTGGTTAACGTCACTATAATATCTCTTGAGTGCATACATTATTAAAAAAATCATTCTAAAAAAGCAGCTTATGCAGCGAATAAATTTTGTATTTATTACTAGGATCTTGAGTTGTTAAAAGGAGTTAGAATAAAGTATGCTATATCGTATTGTAATGTAATCTTAGTGCAATTCTTAAATTTTTATTGATTTAATATTATACATAATTATAGAAAAACAGGTAGAGCTTTGTATTAATGATAATGAGAGATTATTTTGTTCACGCATTATTTATTATTTTATAATGTTATATTAGTTCAAATTTTTTGGACAAGTTTTTT